ACTGGCTATGTAACCTTGGGCAAGTCTCTTATTCTTTTTGTGTTTCAGTTTTATCATCTATAAAATGGAGGTAATTATAGTATCTACTGCCTTGAGTTATTGTATTAAATGAGAGAATATAAATAAAATGCTTAGAACAGTAAAAAAAAAAAAACGTTGCACATATAAACTTTTCTTAAATGTAGTAATGTTAAGTTTGGTTTCATATGCTTATTGGCTATTTGTATATCTTCCATGAATGGTTCCCCTTTCCTGTCCAAGTTCTCTCCTCTCTGCCTTTCATCGCCTGTCTTCACCCCTGGGATCCTAGGCATCCCATTCCTCTCCTCCCCTTCAGTAGAAGGAAATACCATAGAGAGCAAGGAGAAGGGACCTGGTGAAAGAAAACAGGTCATGAGGTATTAGAGGCGCGAAGTGTTCCCAATGAGGAGTGTTTGGATTTTAAACGAGTCTGCCCAGCGGGGCAATGCTTATTCCCAAAGACTGGGTTGCTAATGGTGCTATTTTAGGCTTCAACAGGGAAAATATTTTCAAGTAGGAAGATTTTCCTGAGACCCTCATATTATAATGAGTCAATGCTTTCTTTGTCTAGCATCACGAGACTTTCTCTTGTTAGTAGATAAGGGCAACTGCTTGGGACTTAGTGCCACAAAGCCCTTGACAAAGCATTTACGCTTCTATACATTATTTTAAGGAATTGATCAGAAATGCAGATAAAAAGTTAGGTACATAATGCTTGTCATATAATTGCTTATTAGCTAAGAAACTGAAAACTACTGAAAATGTCCAACAATAGAAAATAAAACAAGTTGGTAGATCCATCTGATGAAATACTTGCAGCATTTTAAAATGATGGTAGAAGTGCACTGGATGTCACCGGGAAGTATTTAAATCTACATGAAATGTATATGCAAAGAAAAAAGAAACAGACGTAAATATGTCAAAAACCCAAGAAGGAATTATATTTGGGTGATGGAAATAGGAACTAAACTTTTGGGCATATTTCAATTTTGAGAGTGCACAAATATTACTGTTATGATAAGAAAAATTTTCTTTAAGTGCAGATAGTAAATATTAAAAAAAGTAGTTTATAGTATTATTCTCACAAAGTATTCCTTCTGACCTGGAAATCATTGAGAAACAAATGCAACCCTGACCTTGCCAAGGTTCATTTTCTCAGAGTCACATTTAAGGAACTCGGCCACTACACCCATCCTAGTCCTGGGCTCTCAGAGCAGGCAGTGGGGTCCATGACCCCAGTCAGTTGACTTCCCAATTTCCAGCAGCCTGGGTCCTGGTTTTAGGCCTCAGTGGCTTTCTTCCCAATCCCTGCTGTTTCTATATCTCCTGACCTTACTCCTAACCTCACCTTCATCCTTACCTATTTCTCTAAGTTAAATTCCTCTACCTCCTTCTTTAAAAAAAAAAAAATTTAAAAAAATTAAGTACCATATTGCTCCATTCACTTTAGGAAGCTTTATACTAAGTATACCTGTATAATACATTAATTGTGATTGATTACAGCATTGGTAATTATTTCTATAATTTATTTTAAAGGTACACATGAAAAGTATCATATCTCATAGCCCTGTGTTTGGTCTGTAAAGCCCTATTGTTATTTTCCAGTGGCCTTGGTGGAGATTTAATATCAAGAATTATGATGGACCTTTTATCTCAATCTAAGGCTTTATCACTTTCAGAGGTTCTTAATGTATTTCTGTGCATTATCCATTCATTCATTCATTCAGAAATAATTTATTGAGAGTCTAAGCATATGCTGGCCACTGTGCTAAATGCTGGGGAATTGTGGATTAAAAATACATCTTTGCTGATGTTCAAAAGCTTGCGTTCTGGAAGGAGAGGTAGAGAAGTCCATAAGTAGATGCGATACTGGTTATTAGGTGCCCTGACAGGCAGAAAACAAGGAAACACAGACAGCCTGAAGGAGAGGCAGATCTGAGGTTTCCTGAGGGACACTTGAGCCAAGTCTTATAAGATGTATATGGCGATAGTTGTGTAACTCTGTAAATATACTACAATTCATTGAATTGTACACTTAAAATGAGTAAAAGGTGAACTTTACAGTATGTAAATTAGATTTCAAAAAAGCTTCTTTTTCTTAAAGAAAAAGAAGAGGTATAGAACTGGGTCAAACGCACGAGAAGAAGAAAATCTTGGGTAGAGAGAAGAGCGCAGCAAATGCTTGGCGATATGAAACAGCTAGACAAGTTAGGGGGCCTGGCAGTCCTGGGGTGTGGCTACATCTCTACCAATGGAGGGTAGAGATGGGTGGCACAAGCCTCTACATCGATTTAAGCAACAGAATCACAGGAGAATTTCATCTTCATGTAATGGCATGAATCCAGAATTGCAATGACATTCTAGGCGCCTTCTGATTTTTTGACTGAAGGCCCCTCTCTCTGTCAAATCTAAGTTGGGAAAGAAGCGTGCAGAGAGGGAAGAACCCAGATGCCCAAGAATTAAGATAACAAACAAGCTTTCCAGAAGTCCTGTGGGCCATCTCCCTGCCTCTAGGCAGGTTTCAGTTAAACTAACCTAGACAGAGGAATCTGTTCTGTCCTTAATGTTTCCTACAGAAGCAGCTTCCAAGTGGGTCAGGTTGTTGGCTAAGATAAAGCAAGCATTCTTCCAAGGCCACTTGCAAACCCAACCACCCATGGAAAGCCCTCTGGGAAGCAGAATGCCCTTCCTGTGTTCTGACCTGTCTGTGCTGGTCTGCTGATATGAGGCATTAACATGAGGCTTTGTTTCCTTAGTTACCCAGCCCAGAAAGTCCAGAAGAGGGAAAGCTCACTTACATGGCACTTGGTGATTGGGACCTCCAGGACAATGGTAATAATTCCACTGAGCGTGTGGGGAAGGGTTGGGAGGCAGCATCTGTGCACACACTGGATACCGCTGAGGTTCAAACAGATGAAAATCCCTGGACCTGAGAGGTCTGGGGAGGTCCTGGGGGTAACATACGGAAGTGAGGGGCAGGGGCCTTTCCAGCTGCCTGATGCCCAGGACATCTTGGGGTTGGGAATCATACCCTGTGTCTATCGTAGGCAGATCTGGGGCTGCTCGGTTCCTGTGGGGCTGGGGCTGTTGCACAGTTTCCTGGCTACTGCTGGAGGAGTCTGCTGAAGCATTAGTTAAACTTTGGTCTGATTTGTCTGAGTCATGGCCAGTGTCAGGAGAAGCTGCTGAAAGCTGAGATCCCAGACATTGATTACGTTTTTCCATAAATGAAAACTGATGCTCTGGGGGGAGGGCTCCCATCACAGACTCGGGCTTAGGCTTGCAGGCTGCAGAGAAGCCTGAGGGAGCATCTCTGCCTGGGTCTGGGTGTCTCCTGCAGAAGCTGTCTTCACTCTCCAGGACTTGAATGCGCAGGCAGGTGATCTGCTGGGACACAGGCTGCTGGTGATTTGCAAGTTTCAGGCGTGGGTGAGCCTGAGAAAAGTCTCCTGAGGAACAGTTGGTGGTGTGGGGTGTAGACATGCTGTTGGGTGCCATGTTCCTTATATTTGGAGCATGTGGTTCTGATTCTTCTTCCAGGGAATATTCTGGAATTGGTTTCAGCAACTGGCTTGGGTATGGTTCTGATTCATCCACCTCCACAGGAATGCTTCGGTTCATTCTAGTTTCTGGAACAAGAGAAAACATGCCACAGACTTAGAAGACAGATCATTTCTTGGAGTCCCCGCTTTATGACCTGACGGGACCTCGTTCAAGATATGGTTTAAATTAATAGCAGTGTGACACCAAAGTACTTGCAGAGCCCCCATCACGTCAAGTTGTTTACTTCTCCTCCAGGCAAAGGCACTCGTACTTATTAAGATGTTTGTATCTGGAAGACGACCCAAAGGATGCGACTGGATTATCATGTGGCAGACAGCACAAGGGGAAGACACATGAAAATCATCGGCGAAGTCCTGAGGAAAGAGAAGCTATCACGATGTGGGCTGCTTCGCGTGTGCTTGTCGACATATTAAATGTGTGTGGAGGAAACACAAGACACGGCTGCACTGGTCGCCTTTGAAGATGGAATTAAGCTGGGGGAGAGGAGAGAGGAGGAGAATTTTTGCCTTTTAAACTTTAAAAATTTTGTTCTGTGGGACTATTGCCCAATAATAAAAAATAATAAAAAAGATTAAAAAAAAAGAAAGCCTGATTTTAAAAACACTGAAAAAAAGGTCATAGTGACATTTTCCACTTAACAACTATAGGTTGTTTAGAGGACTTAATTTCCTCTGGCGCTATGCCTACGATGAAGGTAGCCACGGCCATCTGGTTTGTGATATGCTGGCTGAACTAGCAAGGTTTGCTAAACTAGCCTGTAGCCCACAGAGCATTTAGCCCACAGGTCGGGTACTACTCGTTTTAGCTGTAAAAATAGAACTTTTAATCAACATGACAGAATGAGAAAGAAAATGCGCCTCCCCTTGTAATGGGATTGGTTGAGATGGTGCCCCAGGTCACCAGGCGCCCGGGGAAGGACGCGAGCGCAGGCGTGGCTGGAGGCTTGCGGAAGACTCCAGAGCAGGCGGCGTGGGAGCGAAGGAGGGAGTGAAAAAGAAAAAGGCCCTAGAGGTCTGCTCGCTACAGGCCTGGTACGTAGCATACTTCAAACACCATACAGAGAAAGGGGTGGTGCCGGCAGTGGTGGATTTTTCAATTCGTTTTTTGGACCCATGTAGAATTTCGACCACAAACATTTACTGAGAACTGACTGTGCCTAAAATCACGATGGACATCAATTACTGTCCTAAGACAAATCTTGAAAACACTAGGAATTCACCTTCTCTGGAGCCATGTATCCAAGCCAATGGCAACATGACAGCATGCATGTTGAAACGCTCTCCCTCGGAGCAGAGGTGGTGCTAGCAGCTTCCTACCCAATTTATCTTCACTGCCTATGGAAAGATAATTCAATTTGCCTCTCTGCTGCCTGCCTGCCAAATGAGTGCTCTCTAATACTTCTCTTACCTGCACTTGGTAACAAACTTACCCGTCTGCTGCAGACAACCTTTGTACTGTTTTCTGGCACAACAGAAAATGCCTTGGCTTCTAATTCCCAGCTGGCCCTCCTCCCCCATCTGAGTCTCGGCTTCTCCTGCTGCCTCCTTTCCAGGCTGCTCCCCCCAGGCTGTGTGTGTCCGTTTACCCCTTGGCTCTGCAGAAGAGACCTCATCCCCTAAATTGATTTGACCCTGTAGAAATGAACAGGAACCTACCTCCAAACACAAATATTTCAACGATTATGTTTAAATGCTCCCCATGCTTTTCCTTTCTTTCTTACAATTTTTCTACAGCTCTGAAATTGGATATGCCATACAACACGCTCTTCAGCTGGTCAGGAAACAAAAGTGTTTTCTGAAGGGCTGGCTGAGTGTGTGTGTAATCTCCTGCAAGCATCTGTGGGCCCACAGCTGAACGGAAAGGCAAAGAGAAGCAGCAAGAGAGGCCAGCTAGCAAGAGGACTAAATTCTGTCAACTATTTCTTGTTATGCGACTTACTTTCATTGCCCACACTACACAGAGACCACTGTTTACATTCTCCCTGGGTCTTCAAATGTGAATACCTTAGAAGTGCTTCCCTAAACAACAACAACAACAACAAAAAGTCACAAATTCTACTCTTCTAGCTGAGGAGCCTTCAGGGGCTTGGAGGAAGCTAATAAAAAAGGTGACAAGTACAGTCATCTCACCGAACTAGAAAGCTGAGGTCCATCTTATGGTGGGAATTCTACAATTAAAACTGGTCTGAAAAGGAACAAAGGGCTACTTGGATGGTAGGAAATAAACCTGGGATGGCAATGAACAACCTCTCAGGACAGCTATGGGATTAGCAATCCTTCAAAAACAAAACGGACCTAGGTGTTTTAAACACGTCATTATCAAATATTTAAACAGCAAATATTAACTGAACCCTGGTACATGTCCAGCTCTATGCTGTGAATCCTCCTTCCGAGGCATAAGCCTAATTAAAAATGTATTTACACTAGGTAATACCTACAAGTGATACAAAATTCAAGAGTACAAAAGATTATACAGTGAAAAGTAATCAAAATTATTTCTAAAGACATATAAAACATTAGTCCTACCCTTCAAGTTGATTGTGACTCAGATCAAGAGAGAAAACTAACATAGGCATAGGCAATCAAAAGCCCGACCTCAGGGCCTTTGCACCTGCTTTTCCTGCTTCTCAGAACACTCTTCCCCTATATATCTACATAGCTTTCTTCCAGTCTCCTTCAGGTCTTTACTCAATTGTTACTTTCTCAGTAAGGCCTCCCTCGTTACCTTCTTTAAAATTTTTTTACACGCCTCTTACTCCCTGTCTGTCTTCCCTGCTTTACTGTCCTCTCCAGCAGTTATAATAACTTTATATACTACAATATGTATATTATAAATCCAAATACCTAATACATTCTTTGTTTACCGTCTCCTCTTCCCCCCAGAATTTAAACTTCACAAGGGTGTGATTTTCGACTGTTGTAGTCACAGCTATATTCTCAGCACCTAGCACTGTACCTGGCACATAGTAGGCACTCCATAAATATTTGTTGAATGAATAAATGATTGATGCCTGTTTTGGCGTGGGGACAAGTCTGTGTAGCTGGCAGGATCATTGACAGTGAGAATGTCAGGCTCCATGAGGGGTAGCGGAGAGTATTGGGTGGACCAAGTCCTCAGGGTTCTTAAAATTATATCACAGGGGTACTCTTCCCCCTTTCTTCCTTCCTTCCTCTCATATATTTCTTAAGTGCCCACTCAAGGTCAAACCCCAAGGAGGGTGTGGACCATGCCTAAGAGGTCCTGCTCACAAGCAGAGTTGACCATGACCTTCACTTGCCTAATAAAGGTGATTCTACCACCCAGTGTGATGGGAACATCTGCTGCTGTGCTCCAGATGGGGAGGCAGCTGGTCTAGTCATGAATCCTCAGAGCTTTGCCCAGAACAGCAGAGGGTGGGGTTATGCCTGCAGCTACCATGTGGGCCCTTCCCAGCCCTACACCCTCCTGTGGGTGTCAGAGAACAATTACACAAAAGTGCCACATCAGAAGGCCGTGGACAGATTAACGGATTTTGTTGGAAATGGCAGTTTTATTTTTTGGTCTTTAATGTCAATATTGTAAAAATACCACACATTAAAAAAAAAAAGAAAAAGAAAAGAAAAATCACTCAGTATCTCACCATTCTTAACCATTTCCATTTTTTCCGTTTTATTCCAGGGTGTCTCCACATGATGTTCACATGGCTGTAACCCTAGCATGGCCTGTGCTCCAGTCCCTAACAAGGGTGGCACTTGGATTAAAGTGGAAAAACCCTGATTTCTAACAATGGCCTGGAGGAGAAGACTCTGACCCCCAAGGGAGACAGAAGACCTGCCAGCCAGGACCCTGTGAGACCTAATACTGGCAGTGCCCTAGACAGTCTCGGGCTCATCAGCACAAATGCCAGAGCTCAGAAAGCCTGGGAGAAGCTGAGGCCTGCCAGGCCTGGGGCACAACGGCCATGTCTGCCTGACCTCGGCAAATGCCTGGGGGAAGGGAGAGGCTAGAGAGCTGAGGGGACCGGGACCCATGGCAGCTTCCGGCTCAAAATCACTTTCTGAGGCCCACAGTCCAGATGCCCAGGCCCCACGCCCAGAGATTCTGAGGTGGGACCAGGCCTCCTATGTATTTTTGTTTGAGTCCCACCGGTAAACAGATTCTCTCATGCCTTTGCCAAAGGAAGTGTAATCGGTACAATTTGGCAGTAACGATCAGAGTTTGAAAAGCTTATGCCCTTTGACCGAGTAATTTCACTTCTAAGAATTTCCTCTGCAGAGATATGTGCCTATTGTGTAAAATGAGGAGGCTGTGAAGACAGGCAACTGCAGGGACGTGTATAACAGCAAAGACCAGAAACAACCCACATATACAAAAAGGTTCTGAGTTTTTAAACTGTTGTCCAGTCCTACCATGGATACACTGTATCTATTTTAAAAGACAGAGGAAGTGCTGTGTGAACTGATGTGGAACAATCTCCAAGACTTACTGTGAAGTTAATAAAAGGAAAGGGCAGCATGGTGTATAGATTATGCTAGGATCTAAGATTGTATATGCGCATGTCATCTCATCAGAAATCCAGGATGGCAGTTGCCCCTGGAAAGGAAACTGGATGGCTGGGAATAGGTATTTTATACCTTTTATATTTTGTACCCAGTGCCTGTGTATCTACTTAAAGGATTAAAAAAAAAAAAAGGAATTAATCAGAGGATTATTTTTTAAATTATATAAATGTCTAAACACTATGCTGCACACCTGAAACTAATATAAAATAATTTTTAAAAAGAAAAGAAAAAGCTCCACTAGTGATTCTGATGTTTACAAAGATTAAGGAACTATGAGAATGAGGCACTCCTGAGACCACCCAGGAGGGTGACTATGTCCCTGAAAATACAAAAGACCATTCAGCAGAGGGTGAAAATATTTGTGGGGGTGGGGAAGGCACTTGCTAAGCGCCAGGGCTAGTCTCGCACACACACGAGTAGGCCGAAACAGTGGTGCACGTAGTTCTGACTTGCTCTAATCTGACCCATGAAACAGGAGTTTTCCTTCTCTGGGATCTCACTGCCCCTGGGGCTGTGAGCTGTGG